TAATAGAATGAAGAAAGACTATTAGAATTAGGTATATACCCCATGCTAAGTAATTTTAAATGTGATGTAATCCTAGCTGCTTTCTTATTTACCCATGAATACATTTAAAATATGATTGGCCAGGTGTCTGTCTTTCTCAAGGTAACGTGGGACAGCTATGGATAGGCATTTGGCCTCTAGTAGAACTCTTCATTTAAGTGAGTGTGGCTGAGAAGAACAACCAGGAAAGAGTATAGTGCTCAGTTGCACTTGCCCTGTTGGCTTTTCAAATGCAAAATCCATGCTGTTGCATTTGGAAACTTGTTTCTCTCTTTTATGGTATTTCATTTAAGATTTTTTTTTTTAACTGCCGGTCTGTGAATAGTTCACCAGCAAAGTAGGAAACAGCCTTTTATTCCCAACTGTATATAGCTTTTGTTTTTAATCTAGGTTAGTATGGGTGTCATGTAAATACCATATAAAAATTTGACTTTGGTTGTCCTTACTTTGAAGATTGACAGGGACTTCTTTAATTAATCTTGTTTCCTTTCATGCTCTGTATTGAGATATTGAAATACAGTATTTTATACATTTATAGGATTGTGTTTGCATTTATTTAATTTATGTTTCTTTTTTTGAAGCATGTAGCCTTGAATGTTTGTTCTACCTTTTTTTTTTTTTTTTCACATCATTACTCTGGTACTGCTTGATGTAACTTGATTAGCTCCCTCCCCAGTCATGATTGGTAATTAAAATAGGCATTAAAATTAGTCACTTAGCAATTTTGCTGTTCAATTGGCAATTAAATTACTTAATTGCAATTAAAGTCCTAATTTTAATTGGCAAAATGATAGATGTAGATTTAAGATAATATGTATAAATACTTTAATAAGTGTCTATATAAGGATTACTTAATTACTCAACTTCAAGTTTATGCTGTTAACTTTAGAACTTTTAAGTGAGCAATGAAATTTATATTACATCTATTCAAAGGATATGGTAATTAGATTTATTACTTATCACTATAAGGGTCCTTGCTTTAAGTTACTTTTGTAGTGTTAAAATTGTAGGTTTGATAATTGCAGAATTTTGATGAGGAAAGGGCATATATGTCTCTGTTGCAATATTATCAATACATTCGTTTTTTAAAATTAAATTGAGACATTTCTGTCCACCAATTACTCTGAGGAAAAAAAAAAAAGCGGTTATCATTAAAGATAGAACCAAAACTAGCCAGCTGTGATTTACATATAAAAACTTGCAAAATGTATGTATTTTATCTACATTTAAATAAATGCTATCTAATACTCATAGTGTTACTAATGGTATTAACTACTCTTAGAGTTTGCAGATATTTGATATTTTCTTAGCATGTAGCAACTTATTTTTAGAACCTTTAAAATGTCTTTTAGGACTATATACATTTTAGTGATGCCCACGTTTACTAAAATTAGCAATGAAATCTAAAACCAAAGTTATTCTTCTTTGCCTAGTAAAAAATAGTTCTTAAGAAAATATTAAGTGGTTAATTTAAAAGGAAGTATTTAGGAATTGGTTACTGTGTGTCAAGTATTAACAAAAAGATGAAGGATTTTTATTATGCAAAATACTTTTTGAGTGGCATGAGGTTTTACCATATGTTTAGTTTTATAATTTTAATTCACAAGAAGATGCTCCTAGAAAAAAAATGCTGTTTTTTTCCTGCACATCTTTACACATTTCTAGTACTGAGTTCTATATCAAAGTAAAATAATTTTTAAAGTATTTGCGTTAAGTGGTTTTTGGTAAAAATCGGCTGAGTAATACTGAATAAATCTACAACTACCCAAAATATGAATATTAACAACGCAATTGACTTGTTCTTTGAGCATCCTATGAGAAAGAAACAATTTTGTCAGTTAATATCCTGTCAATGTAAATGAAATGGCAAAAGCAAAACAACAAAAAACCTTTCACTAGTAAAAACTAATTTTGTATTTTCAGAAACAGGTTTTTTTCAAAGTGAAAATTTATTGCTTCTATCAGTAATGTAACTTAACTGCTCAATGGCAATAAACGCTGTGAATGAAAGTTTGTCCAAATGTAATTTAAAATATATGTTTTAATGCTAACAATAGATTCTACTAAGTAATTTTCTTATGAAAAATCTTAAAGTTGCCTCAACTCTTAACAGCACAACAGATATGTCTGTTTCACTGTATCTGCATTGTAAGGTGTATTCTGAGTTTATTTGGGAAGAATGGTGAAATAACTCCCTAAAGGCCTCTTTCCCATGCATTAAAATAGAAAATCCTATGGGATTACATTCATGTTTGCTTTCTAAATTATGCCAAAAGCTCAATTTTATTAAGTATAATCAGCTTAGCCATGCATAAAATAAAATATTTTGGTTTAGCTGTGAGTATATATATTATTTATGTTGATTTTTAATGAAAATATGTTTATATATACCAATATGTTCTGCTTAATATTGGTTAATATCATAAAAGATAACATAGTAACATTACCCTCCTAAATGTTTTTCTGTGGTCATCCAATAGTGTTTCTTATTAGCAATAATTTTTAATTTATTTCAGTTGGTTTCAAAAGAGGATAGGACCAATTTTTACTCCCATTTATTTTAAAAATTATTAAGAAAATAGATCTTCATTTGTGGGGTAACTTTACACATTTATACATGGCAATAGTTTAAAGTTACATCAGCTGTAGGGGCCTGAAAAAACTGTTATTGTCATTTTAATCGAGTTATAAAATACTTTATTTGAACTATTTATGTTCAAGAATCTTGAAGGGTTGTAGTCATATAAATGCAGAATTTCAGTTTCTTTTAGCCTAAAGCATCGTTTTAACATTTTCTGAAAGGTTGTTCAATTCTACATTTTGAATCCATATGTGTAATTAAATCTCTATGCACAAAAGCATTCTCTTATGTACTAGCAAATACATCCACAGGAATCTCTTTCTAAACTATAATTTATTTAAACATGTAATCATAGGATTTTAAAACATGCTTTCATTTTTCCAAACTGTAGGCCAATTTGAACTGCTTGGTGATAAAATGAGAGATTTTATTACCAGTTTGATTTTTTCCTCCTGTGATCTAACAGTGAGTTAAACATGAGCAGGAAGAAATAAATAAAATCTATTGTGAACCTAATCCCATGTGTTCAAACTGTTTCCCTTTTGGAGAAAATAGAAGAGAATCAAAGATTTTTAGTTATTTATGAATTCCAGCACAATACGATTATTTGGGCCTGTAACATTCTCTTCGGTTTAGCTTAGGTAGTAAATAGCTTGTGCGTGTGTGTGTGTGTGTGTGTGTGTTTGTGTGTGTGTGTGTGTGTGTGTGTGTGTGATTCTCTTGAACATTGTGGAGTCAGGCCCCCTACTGACTGGATCAGTCAATTACACACACATTGGCGGTGCTACTGTGGGGTTTTGAGCGTGGCCTTTTTTTTTTTTTTTTTAAACACTTTCTGATCTATATGCTGGATCCTTTCCAACCCAGCTCATCTGGGCCCTACAGAAGCCCCAGCCTAAGAAGTAGCTTATTCAAAATTGGTTTAAGCGAGTTTAACAGTCTTATATCTGGCGTGTCTTCCTGAGAAACAGTAAAAGCTTCCTAGAAACCAGAATAGGACTTTGAAGAGGAGAGAACTCTTACACAGATGGTAGAATAGATGAGAAAGGTCTCCGATTTCTCTCATTTTAATGTTATATTTAATCACTCCATTCCCAGTAAATAATTGTTATAATAAGCTGCTGTGAAAACGACCCTTCAATCTTGGTTGCATTAAGACTTGGGCAAAGGCTGTTATCAGGAATCCGCACTCGACAGGTTCCTGTTAAAGAATAACGCATCATATTACAGTATTTGGCTTCCTTGGAGCAAGAACTCCAGGACACTTTTCAGCTCTCTGAGAGGGCATTTTTCAAATTGTCCCAGACTCAACCCAACCTAAACTGAATGTGTTTTTAATAGCAATGAGGGAGGGGGAAGCGTGCACAGTGAATGTATCTACTTAGACCGGAATATTTGTGTATGGAGGCTGGTGGTTACAGCCTTGAAGTTCTCCCGGACCCTGCTTTCCTAGGACTATATTAAAAAATAATAACTGCCATCTCGGCGTGGCTGTGCTTGAATTTCCGACTGCCTGAAAATAGCGGTCGGGATCCTGGCCCACCGCGGGGATCAAGGAAAGCTCCCCGTGGCCGCGCCCTGCTCCCTCGCGGAAGGGAAAGGGAACCCGGGAGGGCGCCTCTGAGCTGGAGTTGCTGCTATTTTGGGCCCAGCCTGGCCGGTGCGTCAATGCCTGCGCCCCTGCGTCACCGCCACCCCCACCCCCTTCCTTCTCCCCTGCTCTCCAAACTCTCACTTTTTCCCTTTCGTTCGCGTGGAATCGCTTCTGCCCACGGGGCGCTGACGCTACCGAGCTCATGCTAATACGCTATTCATCGCCCTCCCCTCCTCATCCCCTACTCACACACCCTCACCCGCCACCACAAGCCGCCCCCCCACCCACTTCCTGGTTTTATTTTTTTCTCGCGCCCGCTAGGGCACCACGGAGCTTCGGCGGCAGCGGCTGCAGCAGCAGCAGCCGCAACATCTGGGGGAAACTTAAGGTGGTCACGCAGGTTTCCCCGAGGCTGGGGCGCAGAAGAGCCCGCGGCTTCCTGGGGCAGCCGCAGGGCATCTGATGGCAACGCCTTCCCAGCCTCCGGCAAGCTGGGGGCAGCAGGGAGTACGCAAAGGCGGGGCTACGGAAGAGGGCTGAACAGCCGGGGATCCCGAATAGTTCCCCGGCGCTTTCGGCCGGCACTGAGAACACAAGGAGGGGGGCGAGTTGCAAAAGGGTCCAGGCAGCCAGGAAGCGAGCCACGCCGAGAAAGGAGGGGCGGCTGGGACGCTCTGCGCGAGTAGAAAAGCGGGGGAGCCTCCGAACTCTCACTCCCAAGGCCCAGCCTATTCCAACCCCGCGGGAGAAGCCCGAGGAAGGCCGCCCGACCGCCCGACTCGGGCCGGGAGACAGAGGAATGGGGCTTGCCTTCTGGAGTCGCGGCGTTGACTTTGCTAGAAAGCTCCCTGCGCCCTCGGCGTGGCGGGGGAAGTGACTGGCGAAGCAGAATCGGCGGCGACTCCGACGGCCGCGGACGTGTGGCACGCTCCCACAGCCCGCCCGGGCCCCTCTCCTAGCTGGGCTGTAGGCTCACACCTTAGCTTTGAAGAGACGCTCTCCCAGTCCCCACCCGCTCGGCTTTTCTTGTCCAGCCTTTCTGGGCTCTCACATTGAGGCTGTGATAGCCCTTGTGTTTCAAACGAAGGTCGATTTATTTCCCTAAAACTCTTGGAAGGGGTACAAGTTGGTGGACACCGAGGAGTATCGAAAGTATTAGAGTTTGCAGAAGGTGGGAATCAGAGTACCTTCCTGCAGAAGGCGCACCTGTTGCCTGCTGCTCGGCTGCATTGTCTGTGAAAGGAAAAGGGGCGACGCTTCACTCTGACTTTTGGGGTTTCTAAAGAGCTGGGTCACAGTCGGTCTACCCTTTTTCCTTCCTCTCCCCCTCCATGCACCACGTCCTCAATCGAACGTGGGCACTACATGGAAAGAAGGAAACAGAAAAATAGGCCCTACCCCCACTCCCATTCCCTTTCAGATGGCAGTGTGGGGGGTGGGAGGAGGGGTAGGGGAGAGAGAGGGAGAGAGAGAGAGAGAGAGAGAGAGAGAGAATGAATATATGCCAGAAGAGGAGGCGGCCTGGGACAGGAAAAGGGAGTAAAGGGATGAACCACGTAGGGAAATCCCACCCGAACTGCTTGAGCCCCCTGAGCGTCTCGTGTCATGGGACATCTGTATGCTCTTCCGCTTAAGGGGGTGACGAGGGTAGGTAGAAGTTAGGGCGCTGCAAGGCACCTCCCGTCCCGTGCGGCTCCAGGTGCGGGATACCTGGTCCACGCCGGCGTTCCCTTCCGCCCGGGCTTTTGTTGCGCCCTCCCACCTGTGCGCTGCCGAGCCGCAGCGAGGGCTCGGGGGCTTCGGGGAAAGTGAAGTGTCGCGGCGCTGCGGACTGCACAGACCTGGGAGAGGTCACACCTCTCTCGGGAAAAAAAAAAAAAAAAATCCACCAAAAACCACCCAAGCTGGCTACCAAGGTGAACGCAGTGCGGTTCCCACCTTAAAATCGGCCCTATTCGTGACGTCAGGTCGGAAATATACCAAAGCGAGCGCGGGCCAGGAGTCCAGGGAGCTCGGCGGCGCGGCGATTGGGCAACGGGCCGCTGACGCGCGCTGACGCGCGGAGACTTTAGGTGCATGTTGGCAGCGGCAGCGCGAGCCACATAAACAAAGGCACATTGGCGGCCAGGGCCAGTCCGCCCGGCGGCTCGCGCACAGCTCCGCGGTCCCTTTTGCCTGCCCAGCCGGCCGCCTGTCCCTGCTCCCTCCCTGCGTGAGGTGTCTGGGCTCCCTTCGCCCTTCTCGCCGTCTCCTCCCCGACCCCGGCGCCCAGGCTCCCAGAGGGAACTGCACTTCGGCAGAGTTGAATGAATGAAGAGAGACGCGGAGAACTCCTAAGTGAGTAGGTGCAGCCCATGCAGCTCGCCTTCTTTTATGCTTCTTCCTTCTTTTGCACGTCTCTTCTTTCCACGTGTGTGGGTCAGGTCCTCTGGAAGTGGGAGCCAGAGGCTTTAGCGAGAGTGGGACCAAAGGATGGGGAGTGCTTGCTCGCAGTTACCCGGGGGAGCATTTTTTCGAAGTCGGGCTTTGGCACTAGGGGGGAGTTGGCTCCGGACGGAGGCTTCCAGGCTCCTCATTGGTGGACGTGGAAGGGAGACTCCACAGTTTGGGAGCTGAGGACTAGCCCGCGGAAATGGTCGGAAAGTTTGCTGCTGTTAGTGAGGAACTGATTGTGACCTGTGGACACGGAGACTCCAAGTCCTATGTATACGAGGGAAGCTGCCCACAAACTGTCAGGGAGAGAAAGTTCTTCAGTTTATGCGTTGCTTGGGAACCGTGTCTCCGTGGCTTGCCAGCGCGCGATGTTTCCCGGGTATTGTTGAGTAAGGGTGGTGTTGGTTGAGTGTCCTGTTACTAAGTTGTCTGAAATTTCTGGTTTTGACATATGCTGTCCTTGGGTTTGCGAATGTGTCAGAGACAGGGAAGAGAGAGAGAGAGAGAGAAAGAGAGAGAAAGAAAGAGAGAGAAAGAATATGAATATGTAAAGAGTACAGTTATGAAACTGTGGCGCTAACAGGGAGTTAATATCCAACACAGGCGTATCTCTAAGGGCTGTGGGGGTCGAGTCTCCTTTCTGCTCTTTCTGGTTTATCTCCCCACCTCCCACCACCACTATGAAGCAAGATTGTGGGGGAGGGGAAATAATAGAAAGAGAATATTTGGCTTTCTTTTTCATTAGTAATAAGATTGTCTATGCTCTAGAATGCATTCCAAGTGGGAACATCTGAAAATTACTAGGACACAAGAGTGCTTTGTTCCAGTAAGGAAGATCATGGAAGGCATTATGGGGAAGGTGTTCATCTTGCTGTGCTGGGAAACACTTCTAATATTGGGGCCAATACCATATAAGCAGTATGCACCTCCCTCTACAATTGACCTAAGATGGTCTTGGAAAAGTAGGGTCCCCTCTTCCCACCTGGTGGCCATTAAAGATGCTGAAAGACAAGTTTTCTGGAAAAGTGAACATCAGTTTATCTGTAGCTCCAATCCCAGTGCTCTGTCAAAAGTACTTTAGAAATGCGGATGCTTCCACTGAAATTGCCTTCTCAGTCCAGGCCTTTCTGACATTTGGTAAGAGTGAAGATTGTTTTCTCATATTATATTCTTGACTTCTATCAACTTTCTTCCCCCTCTACCAAAAGAAGAGGCAGTTTCACCACAGGAAAAAAAAAAAATGCAAGAGAAGGTTCTAGGGCTGTATTTTCAGACTCTAGTCTTCTTACTCAGGTCTGAATTAACCTAAGATGAAAATGACCTCTCCACCTACATTCTAGCAAAGGGGCCAATTCATTACATCATAAATGTTAAATGAGTTCATGGACTAGCTTTCCTTTTGCAGGACCCTCTCTCTGCAAGGATTTACACAGTGCAATGGGTAGTATTTTCTGTTGTTTCCAGGTATTTCTTTTATACATTCATTTTAAGTGCCGTGTTTGGTAAAGGCTTCCCACTCATTTCCAGTAAGACGAACAGGGAAGGCATGGAAGGGCCTGCCTGGTGAGTCTACATATGCCCGGCTGAATCTCTGTCAGGGAGATACCCTGAAGCTTCCTGTGTCTGTATTTCAGGGAGGAGATTGGACAGACTGGACTCCCCATTGCTTTTCTAAAAATCTTGGAAACTTTGTCCTTCATTGAATTACGACACTGTCCACCTTTAATTTCCTCGAAAACGCCTGTAACTCGGCTGAAGGTCAGTGCAACTTAATTTCTTTCCTTTCCTCTCCTGAGTTCCCCAAAAATCAAGAAACAGGGCAAGGAGATCTTCTTGGCAAACCCTGTAACTTAAGGTTTGTCTCAACCCATCGCCTTCGGGAACAACTTTCTCATTGTGCAAATCAAGTTGATTTGTAGATGATCATTTCTAGAAAGAGATTGCTGAACCTGAGCTTCAGAGAAGAGGCTCACCTGAGTGGGATTGACTGTAAAAAGGGAGGGCGGGGTAAGGGGGACATGTTTGGAAATACCCAGGAGTGTAGACCCTCAGGAGCTTTTTAGCTCTGGGTCTTTATTTTGGTCAGTCTTTCCACACCTTACACTGTTGTTCTGCAGCATTCTACCTCTCCTGCCCTTCCTCTCGCACCCCTACATGCTCTCTGGCTCTCTGACTGCCATGGGCTGCCGGTGTAGCTCCAGGTGTACCCGAGCCCGGGAGAAAGTGTTCAGTTGACCAGGCTGAGTGTGTATCACCCTGTTTCATTTCCAGCCATGCCTTGTGTTCAGGCGCAGTATGGGTCCTCGCCTCAAGGAGCCAGCCCCGCTTCTCAGAGCTACAGTTACCACTCTTCGGGAGAATACAGCTCCGATTTCTTAACTCCAGAGTTTGTCAAGTTTAGCATGGACCTCACCAACACTGAAATCACTGCCACCACTTCTCTCCCCAGCTTCAGTACCTTTATGGACAACTACAGCACAGGCTACGACGTCAAGCCACCTTGCTTGTACCAAATGCCCCTGTCCGGACAGCAGTCCTCCATTAAGGTAGAAGACATTCAGATGCACAACTACCAGCAACACAGCCACCTGCCCCCCCAGTCTGAAGAGATGATGCCGCACTCCGGGTCGGTTTACTACAAGCCCTCCTCGCCCCCGACGCCCACCACCCCGGGCTTCCAGGTGCAGCACAGCCCCATGTGGGACGACCCGGGGTCTCTTCACAACTTCCACCAGAACTATGTGGCCACTACGCACATGATCGAGCAGAGGAAAACGCCAGTCTCCCGCCTCTCCCTCTTCTCCTTTAAGCAGTCGCCTCCTGGCACTCCGGTGTCTAGTTGCCAGATGCGCTTCGACGGGCCTCTTCACGTCCCCATGAACCCGGAGCCTGCCGGCAGCCACCACGTGGTGGATGGGCAGACCTTCGCCGTGCCCAACCCCATTCGCAAGCCCGCGTCCATGGGCTTCCCGGGCCTGCAGATCGGCCACGCGTCGCAGCTGCTCGACACGCAGGTGCCCTCGCCGCCGTCGCGGGGCTCACCCTCCAACGAGGGGCTGTGCGCTGTGTGTGGCGACAACGCGGCCTGCCAACACTATGGCGTTCGCACCTGTGAGGGCTGCAAAGGCTTCTTTAAGGTGAGCAAGGGCGGGAGCGGAGTAAGCAGGTAGGGAGCCCCTAGTGCCCGGGACCCTGGAGTGTGCCCTCCGCTGCCTAGGTGCCTTCAGCCCAGCACCAGCTCTCCCGGGACTGCCCAGCTCTCCAGGGTCCGCCGAGACTACCCTGCAGGAGTCCAAGGGCTGCGGCGGGGACTTCCGGGTGTCTGAGAAAGGGAAGCAGAAAGACTGGGAGGCCAGGGTCGCATCCCCCTCGCACTCAGCGGACCCGGCTGGCCCCCGCCCGAAGTTGCTGGAGCCGGAGTTGGAAGAGGGTCATTTGCATGTGCTAGGAGCTGTCTTCCCTGTTCAGAATGAAATTGGTTAGGACAGAGAACCGTGTCTGAGCTAACCAAGTGGAACAGAATTCCCTATGGTCAAATTAAGTGATCTCTTTATTTCGCCATCCTGATTGAATAATCTTATCATTTTAAATAGAGAAGGTCTCCAAGGAATGTAAATAATATGAATGCCCACGGATTTGTATTTACTGAGCGTCTCCTTCTCCTTCTCTTGGCATATAAAACACAGCAAGGAGCGGCAAGGTTAGCTCAAATGTTAACGCTATCAATTTTCTTCTGTTAAATGCCCTGGGGGAGGAAAAAAGAAAAGAAAAAAAGAAAAGGAAGAGATAAAAAAAAATAAAATAAAATGGAATTGTGTGTATGTGTTTGTTTGTGGGGATGAATCGTAGACCCCAGCCACATATCAGAAATTTTCTCCGAGTTGCCTGATTTTCAAAAGAAGAAAAAAAATTTTGGTCTATATTGTCTCCTTTTGCAGCGCACAGTGCAAAAAAATGCAAAATACGTGTGTTTAGCAAATAAAAACTGCCCAGTGGACAAGCGGCGCCGGAATCGCTGTCAGTACTGTCGATTTCAGAAGTGCCTGGCTGTTGGGATGGTCAAAGAAGGTAGGTTGCGGGGAGCTGCCGACCCTCCAGTCTGCGCCCTTAGGAAACCACTGCTCATACTCCAGCATCGCTTTCCACTTCCTGGTGCTGGGGATCTCCGGCCCCCCTCAGTCTGGCCTCCAGGACCCTGCAGCTTCCTGCTTGCCCAGTCTCCCCTAGAGAAAGCCGCCAGGCCCTTCTCTCCTTTAACTATACGACCCATTTGGAGGAACACATAAAATAACCCCGCATTTTTTAATGCTTCTCGTCAGTAAAGGCTTTACAAGCAGTGGGGCCCTGGTGTCACTCAGCCTGGTGTCCCGCGGCTGCGGCCTTCCCCGGGGAGGGGTCGAGGCAGCAGCTGGGTCTGGGCTCTGGAAAGCGGTGCTAACAGGGCTCTTCCTTTGCAGTGGTTCGCACAGACAGTTTAAAAGGCCGGAGAGGTCGTTTGCCCTCGAAACCGAAGAGCCCACAGGAGCCCTCTCCCCCTTCGCCCCCGGTGAGTCTGATCAGTGCCCTCGTCAGGGCCCATGTCGACTCCAACCCGGCTATGACCAGCCTGGACTATTCCAGGGTAAGAAGCTGGCGGGGGATATCCTGTGGACAAACCGACAGATGGGCAGGACCCCTCCCCATATCCACCATTAAACCTCAGATTCAATGGGGTAAAGAAGGCAAGCAAGGCTCTATATGCCTCATAGCTCTGATCAGGGCCTCAGGATTCAGACCTTCAGACAATCCATGTAGCTGGGGGCCTAGACTTGAGGACAGGACAGAGGAAGGAGGAGGGGGACATGCCACAGGGTTTGAAGCTGTGTGAATTCCTACTACCCAACTACCCACCCCCGCCCCCACTCCTACCATATGCACCAGTGCCTCTAGCATGAAAACCAGGGGCTGTGCAAACTCTGCGTCCCAGTCTACTTTATTCTCAGTCCTCCATGGAGATAGATGCTTTAATCCCCATCCTTCCTGGCAGTGTGCGGGGGAAGAATGTGGGGCCTCTCTGGGGGTCAGGGAAGGGAAGGAGAGGGTGTAAAGAATGGCAGTGGGGTGGGGGATCAAGTGGTCAGATCCTTTTTACTCCAGCTGTGAAAAATATGTGGACTTTAATTGGAGGAAGTATGTTGGGCAAACCTGATACCGACTGCAATTTTATTAAGATTTGCAAAAGGGCGACTCAGCTCGAGGCCCACTCTGGGACTAGCATGAATACTAACGTGTCAATTGTTTTGTGAAGATAAGAGTGAACGTTTCCCAGGGCTGGATGGCACTGTATTTAGTCTGTATGGAAATGGTAATTTACATATTTAAAGCAGCGACCTCGTAGCACCATCCCTAATTGAATTAATTGCCCCGGAACATCTAATTTCCTTACTGGTCAGAGAGAGGTTTAATTGTTATAAAAACCTGGCTCCCCTACTAGAAACGGGGTTAGCAATTTCACGGGTTATATATTTTAGAGAACCTCATTAAGTGCTTTTTAAAATGAAATTCCAGTTCCAGGCGAACCCTGACTATCAGATGAGTGGAGATGACACCCAGCATATCCAGCAATTCTATGATCTCCTGACTGGCTCCATGGAGATCATCCGGGGCTGGGCGGAGAAGATCCCTGGCTTCGCAGACTTACCCAAAGCCGACCAGGACCTGCTTTTTGAATCAGCTTTCTTAGAACTGTTTGTCCTTCGATTAGCATACAGGTAATGAGGGAGGAAAGAGACGATTAAGGGAGGCTGTGAGAGAAATCAAGAAAGGAAAAGAAAGGGAGGTAGGGAAACTGGGGGTGGGGGGTAGAGAAAAAGACAGAATAGGAAATAAAAGTTGGAGAAAGGAAGAAAAAGAAAACAAAAAAAGAGAAGGGAAGGAGCGAACCCAGAAGCCTTGGATAAATGGAATGGAGGTGGGATAGGGGGCGTTCTTGATTGTTATGAAATTAAACCCTTTCAAGGTCCACTGGTCTACATTTTATTAACTCTTCAGTAATTAGGTGCCTCTTAAATCCCTCATTTATTGCTCTTCAAGTAATTAGTTGTTTAGCTTCTCTCTCTCTCTTTTTCTCCCCTCTCTCTCTTTGGTATTAATTGCAGGTCCAACCCAGTGGAGGGTAAACTCATCTTTTGCAATGGGGTGGTCTTGCACAGGTTGCAATGCGTTCGTGGCTTTGGGGAATGGATTGATTCCATTGTTGAATTCTCCTCCAACTTGCAGAATATGAACATCGACATTTCTGCCTTCTCCTGCATTGCTGCCCTGGCTATGGTCACAGGTCAGTACTGCAGGCGCAGGGCACTTCCCCTCCAGATCTGCCTAGCAGGATTTGTCCTGGCTTTCCCTTGCCACAGATCCTCTCTGGCTTTGCCAACTAGCTAACTGTCTCGTACATTCTTCTTTTGTTTCTGATTATGTTTTCTGCAGAGAGACACGGGCTCAAGGAACCCAAGAGAGTGGAAGAACTGCAAAACAAGATTGTAAATTGTCTCAAAGACCATGTGACTTTCAACAATGGGGGGTTGAACCGCCCCAATTATTTGTCCAAACTGTTGGGGAAGCTCCCAGAACTTCGTACCCTTTGCACACAGGGGCTACAGCGCATTTTCTACCTGAAATTGGAAGACTTGGTGCCACCGCCAGCAATAATTGACAAACTTTTCCTGGACACTTTACCTTTCTAAGACCTCCTCCCATGCACTTCAAAAGAACTGGAAAGATAACGGAAACTGTCCAGAGGGGGCAAGTCACATGGGCAGAGGTAGCCCTGTGAGCTGTCTCAGCTCAAGCTGTCCCCCATTTCTGTAACCCTCCCAGACCTTTGATCCCTAAAGAAAACAAACAAACAAAAACTGTTGCTATTTCCTAACCTGCAGGCAGAACCTGAAAGGGCATTTTGGCTCCGGGGCATCCTGGATTTAGAACATGGACTACACACAATACAGTGGTATAAACTTTTTATTATCAGTTTAAAAATCAGTTTATTGTTCAGAAGAAAGATTGCTATAATGTATGATGGGAAATGTTTGGCCATGCTTGGTTGTTGCAGTTCAGACAAATGTAACACACACACACACACACACACACACACACACACACACAATCTTAAGGGGACCCACAACTATTGCCCTTTAACAAGACTTCAAAGTTTTCTGCTGTAAAGAAAGCTGTAATATATAGTAAAACTAAATGTTGCGTGGGTGGCATGAGTTGAAGAAGGCAAAGGCTTGTAAATTTACCCATTGCAGTTTGGCTTTTTAAATTATTTTGTGCCTATTTATGAATAAATATTACAAATTCTAAAAGATAAGTGTGTTTGCAAAAAAAAAAGAAAATACATAAAAAAGGGACAAGCATGTTGATTCTAGGTTGAAAATGTTATAGGCACTTGCTATTTCAGTAATGTCTATATTATATAAATAGTATTTCAGACACTATGTAGTCTGTTAGATTTTATAAAGATTGGTAGTTATCTGAGCTTAAACATTTTCTCAATTGTAAAATAGGTGGGCACAAGTATTACACATCAGAAAATCCTGACAAAAGGGACACATAGTGTTTGTAACACCGTCCAACATTCCTTGTTTGTAAGTGTTGTATGTACCGTTGATGTTGATAAAAAGAAAGTTTATATCTTGATTATTTTGTTGTCTTAAGCTAAACAAAACTTGCATGCAGCAGCTTTTGACTGTTTCCAGAGTGCTTATAATATACATAACTCCCTGGAAATTACTGAGCACTTTGAATTTTTTTTATGTCTAAAATTGTCAGTTAATTTATTATTTTATGTTTGAGTAAGAATTTTAATACTGCCATATTCTGTAGTTTTTCTTTGTATATTTCTAGTATGGCATATGATATGAGTCACTGCCTTTTTTTCTATGGTGTATGACAGTTAGAGACGCTGATTTTTTTTTTTTCTGATAAATTCTTTCTTTGAGAAAGACAATTTTAATGTTTACAACAATAAACCATGTAAATGAACAGAATTTTGTCTTCTTTTTGGGTCAGGAAAAAATAATGACTAACCGCTGACATAACATAAACAGTTGGAGATTAATTTGGGACAGGTCGCTTATTCAACATCTGAATTTCAAACAGACAGCCTAAGTCTATTCCGGCAAAAGAAACCAGGTGAACTGAAATGCTTATCCAGAAAATTCAATAGAATATTTTTTCTTAACCAGAATTTTCCAGTCTTGTGATCTATATTTACAATAATCAATTTGGAAAATCTCAACGCTTCTGTTAACTTTGCAAGTAAATGTTGCTTTCAGAAGAGGTGTTCTGGAGACCCCAAAGCTTTTGAACTTGTACAAGGTCAGAGTCTTGTCAAATACTTGTCTTGCACAGTGATTAGGAAGTATCTTTTGAAGACTCAGGAAGTCAACACGGATTTGAAGAGTGTTGTACGTATCTCCAATTTTCTAGTTTCTCAATTTACAACTGTTGGGTCAAGGCTGAAGGGCTAAGCAGTTCGGGCCCTTTGGGCCTTGAGTTACTTTGGCACAGAGCAGAACTCAGTTGAGGTATTTCTAACAACTCTTTATTTTCTTCATTCAGTGGATGGTGATGAGGTGCAATTTGTAGTTTTAGAATAGAATTTCTGCCTTGTAAGTTTCTCAGGTATATAATAAAATATCTATGTGTTGGTTTCTGGGCCTGGTATAAGCAAGTTGTAACTGGGCCTCTAGGATTCCACCCAGCACCAACTTTCAAAAAAGAAAGGAAACTGTTGCTGTAGAAGTCGCTTCAGCTCGGAACCCTTGTCCTTGGGCAGACAAGGTCCAGCGAGTTTTGCCTTAGGGCAGCTGTGAATTCATAGAGAGCGAAAGATGGGGATGGTCTCCTTTGCTGACCCTGGTGAATTACAGCTGGCATCTGGGTCACTGAAATTTACAAAGAGCGTTATTGTTTTTAAAATGCAGAGTTAGAACTGTAAATTGCTACAAGAGCGCTATGGTTTTCTTTTTCTTGTTTCCCCTCTTTTTTAAAAGACACGTTTTGTGGGTCAGCAAAAAAAAGAGAATGGAGGTTTCGGTGGTAATATAAGATTATTTTTACAAGATGCGTTTTTCTCTGGGTATCTGAGGGACAAATAGGGTGGCCACTTAAGAAATTAAATAATAACGAAATTTTCAATTTCTTGGCTTTCTTGAAAAGATGAGACTAGTCATATCATTTTATTTTCACATCTTATGCCCAAGTAAAGCCACAAAGCAGTAAGTAAAGAGAAAGAGAAAAGCTTTTTAAAATGCTGGGAATCTGCAGAGCTTTCAGCTCTCATCTCCCAGGTGTCTGCAGCCCCGAGACACTGACATTCCGTCACACAATCCCCGAGAGTTGAACCCAGAAACGAACTCTGTGGCAGGTTCTCCCTTAAGGAAGCGGCGGCGCTTCACCCGAAGCCAAGGAGGAGTTGGGTAGTGCGCCTCCCGGGAATTTGGGGTGAAAGGAGGCAGGGATGACGCTCCACCACTTCTGCCTGCCGACGGCAGCGGCTCGGCGTACACTGAGTGGTGATTCCCAAGTTGCAAATTGGCTAGTGCCTTTTCTGTTTCACAGAGTCTCTCCCAAACTCCCGGCCGCGCACCGAGTTGCTCAGATAAATAGCCTCGCACACATTGCCCTTTCATCTTTCCAGATGCAGCTGAGGACTTTTCTTGTCCTAATGTTTCTAGGAGTAAAGTGAGGAGAAGCAACAGACACGCTGCACTGCCAAAAGCCAGACGTTGCATGACCTTCTTCAGAAAGAGATTAAACTTTATAATGAGGGCTTCATACTGCCCTCGACTTCCCACGTCCTCTTAAGTATTTCAGTTATTGTGTATCCTTCTAGCAATGGAAAATACATGATCATTGTTCCGAAGACGTGACTATACAGTTCTCAGCTCCGAGGGAAGGTCTAACTTCAAGTCTTTGCTGTCTAGCCCCATTTTGAGTGGTTGCCTAGAACGCTTTGACTTTATGGAAAGTCAAAGCTCGAGTGAGCAGTGAGCAGCGCTGTTGCCTGCTCCTTCCTGAGGTCTGCGGTCCAGGCGACAGCCACAATTTCTCTGGATGCCCTGCTGTCCTTTCGCTTTGGATAGTGTGTGTGTGTGTGTGTGTGTGTGTGTGTGTGAGAGAGAGAGAGAGAGAGAGAGAGAGACAGAGAAAGAGAGAGAGAGAGAGAGAGAATTTGGGGTACTGATTCGCACAAGAAAAATCTTCACGGCCCAGGGAGCTGCTAGCGCCCTGCAGTGACAGCGGCACCCAACGACCTTATCTTGTGTATTTCTTTCTGGAGTCGGACTCCATTCCTAGGCAGTTTAAGTGCCTCCTCCCCTAAAACACACCGGTCATAAGTCTTACGGGCCACTGATTCTCTACATGCATGGAGCGCAACAAGGAGATACAGATATTCTTGCAAACTTAAGAATGTCTTTTGAAGGTTCAATTTCACTTTGCCTTGAGAATCTCTTGGTTTTCTCGGTGTCAGTGCGTCAACCAGAATATCCAATTATGTAATTGTATTTTAAACCTAGGAGTCAGCATTGCAGAAATGCTTCCAATATACAAACAGATCTGTGAGGGAAAAGTTTTATTTCATTGCAATATTTTGATCACAGAGTTTTCCGGTACAGGATACATTTCCATCTCGCCAGGTCCTATGCCGGGGAGTGACACCAGAGCACTTCTAGGCATCTCGCGTGTTGCGCGTCTTCGCACCACCAGCTCCCCGCCTGGCTTCGCACGCTCGTCTGTTTCCTTTTGTATCCGCCGCGCGGCAGCGCCGAGGTGGCTCCGGAGAGTAAAGCCTGGGGGCTCCCCGCCTTGGCCTCGCCTCTCTCGGTGGCAGAGGCGCTTGTCTCAAGGCCGGATGCTCTCAAATCCAGGTCAAAAATGGAGACAGGTTTCCTCAATGTTGAAAGGGAAAGGAGAGTATCTATTCTTGGAGATTTAAAAACTTTTTCTCAGCATTATTTTGGTGATTGAATAGAGGTCAGAGAGTGAGTTTCTCATGCATTCTTTTCCAAAGGAGATTTTAAGGTCCCCCCTCATCACTGGCCCCGCTGTCAGAATAGGAACCTTTCTTGCTTTGTGGGGGCACCCCGAACTTCTCAGGAGTTCAAGCTTCCCAGGCACCTGCGGGCCCGGACTGACTCAATTTTGGAGTCCCAGGGAGGAGGAAGAGGGTTTGGGGTCTCAGCCAACGCCCAGTTAACTCTTCTTCCCCAAAGGACTCAGCCACGACACACACACACACACACACACACACACACACACACACACACACACGAGCGCACCCAATTGCAAGTCTTCGGGAAAGGTTCTGCTTAGATCGGCGCTTCCGGCAGAACTCGAACCGGAGCAAACACATTTCGCACCCCTGCATTTATTGTGTTCAGTCGATACTGGCTGACTTTGCTGGTAGAGCAAGATATGAATTCCAAACAGGTCATCATTTTTTAAAAATTCGTTTTTAATAAAATAAACATATAGAAATCCCCATTTTGCTTTTAAATTTTGCTAGAAACCAAAATATTGCACATAACTATTCAGGAGAGCAAGACTGTCATTTAAAGTCATTTTTCTTTAGTATGTTCCCTGGGACGATTAGGAACTACCGCTGGGGCCGCAAGAAAGATCTTTCCTCGGACTTTGACTTTGCCTTTCCTTAGGGGAAGTCCAGCTTCCGTCGGAGGGCGCCCGGGGGAGCGGTCGCTGAGCAGGAAAGCAAGGCCCCACCCCACGCTGGCGGAGCTCGAAGAAAGCCGCAATCTTGGTCCTTAGTCGCGACGTGCGCTCCTGGCCCTGCAGACGGTGGCAGGAGAACTCCGGAAAGCGGGGTTCTTGCTGCGTACTCCCCACCCCCACACCTTCTTATCAGTCACCCTCAACCTTCCTCCTCCTGTCGTAGTCTGATTTGGAGGCTCCAAAACTACTGGAGAGGACTCGAGTCCGCGGTCCGCCCTGGGGCGAAAGTGGAGACTCAAGCCCTCCTGCTTTGGCCACTGCCTTTTGGAGATGTAGTTTGACTTTGCGGTTTCCAGTCGTAGGCTTTGCCGAGAGAGCCCTGGAGCAATTAGGACGCATTCACGTGGGTGAACTTTGTTTCCTCCGTGTCCCTCCCTTTCCTCCCCAGCTGCTCCCCCGGTCTTTCCCAGCTGTTCCTCCGCCCCCCACCCTCAGGGCGAAGGTAGCAACAGGCACCGGTAGCCTCTAGGTCGGGTCTGGTGCGTCAGTGCGCGAGCACAGGCGGCCGAGCGCACCTCCTGGTACCCAGCGATTCCCGGTCAGTCTCTGGTCTGTTTGAGCGCTGAGCTGGGCTGGGGTGACCTCCTACGCGACCCTGGGGAAAACTCTTTGTCTAGAGGGAGCACAAAGGGGCGAGGCAGAGGTGCGTCCGCACCTCGTGGAGGTCTAGGAGAAGGGCCCACACACCCATGTCACAAGCATGCTCCACACGTGTGCTCAGGACCCAAAGCTCTGAAGATAGATTGCGTGTCCCCGCCCCGCTTTCAGGTCTCCTCCCAACGTGTGTAATGAGCCCTAGGCCTGAGAGCGCTGGAGCGAGCGTCAAGTAGCCAAATCACTGCGGCGCCTGTAGGGGCCTTGGGACCTTCAGTACGCTAATCTTCCAGCGGCTGGGAGCGCTCTTTCTTCTCTGCAGGACGCTGACTGCGGGCGGCTCGCTGTCCTCTTCCCGGCTTAGCTGAACTCTGTCGCACTCAGTTTAACTGGACACAGCGCCGAGCCAGCACCTGGATCCTAGGAGAGCTCAGCTGCAACGCTGTTCTCATTTCTTCTTCCCACACTTAATCTTTCTCACTCCTATTTCTCAACCTGTGTTTAGATAAACTAGGATTTCCAGGACATGTGTCACTCGTTCCAACAGATACAGTGCCCAAGTTTCTGCTAGAGACGTCCCTGGTACAGTACAGGGCGGCTGCTGCGAGTGTGAGAAGTCTTTCATCGGGTACTAGAGGGACTTCCAGAGGGATTGAAT